GAGCGGCCAAAATGGGCTGGAGCATCTCAGGGGGAATTAATTTGATAGTACAGCAGAATGGTTGTGTGAGATGGAAGTTTTCCAACCATGGCTCTGGGTGGTTTCAGGATTCATGACCCAGCCCATGGTCTACCCTTGCTCCCACCACCAGCAGGCAGTGCTTGGAATCAGCAGCACAGGCTGTTGGGATCAGTTTGGCTGATGTTGTTCTGATTTACATAGAGGGATATGATAGAGCTTTTCTGCAGGCCCCCAAAAAATCCCAGGAGAAAGTGCTAAGTAAAGCGAATGCCCAAAATAAATGCGGTGACAGCAGAAATAGGGAAATTCTCGATCTTGAATGAAAGGGGAACCCTGAAAAAAAAAATAATGGTGAGACTGGCTGATGTAAGTTGCCATTTATAGCGGGTTTTAATGCTGAGGAGTCAGGATTCGCTCAGAAAAGGAAGTACTAAAAAATGTCCTGAGTTCAGAAACTGTCTCCAGGCCAAGCTGCACTTCCACCTGCAGCAGTCTCCATCCTGCCCTGCTCAGGGCTCGGGCACCAGTGGCTTTCCATCAGTGTCCAGGAATTTCACCCCCACCATTCTTGACATTTCTGGAGAAATGTTGGAATTTTTGAGATGACATCATGTCCTGGAACTGGCTCCAGTGGGAACCTGTGCCTGTGGGAGTGACTGGGAACCATCTGTCTTCACCACGCTGGGTGAAGGGGAGATCATGGCCATCCTGGCCACCACCAGCTGCGTTGCACAAGAGACCCCTTCGTATTTCCCCAAAATCATGTCATGCTAGGATGATGTTTGTAGCTGATAAGAAAAATGTATCTCATTAAAGGTTCAATCTTCCTCCAACAAGGGCATTTTCTGAGAAAAATACCCCTGGGAAACGTGCTTTCTAATGGCTGATGCCTCAAATTATTCCTGGCGTTTCTTTTGAAACAAAACAAACCAGAGGATTGAGTGTACAGTATTTTAAAGCAAATTGAAGTGGAATAAAAAAGCCTCCTTGCTCCACACCCCTCTCCATCCTTGACATGAAAGGAAAAGAAAAAAACAGGAAAAACTCAAGTTTTAACAATTTTTGAGCCCTAGGGAAGTAGCTGTGAAGCTGTGCTCCTGGTTCATCCCAACTGCTGGCTCCAGGGGCTGTGGGATGCCTGACCCACACCCCTCAGCATCCCTCCAACCCTGCAAATGCCTATGAGGACCAGACAAAGTGTCTGCTGGGCTGCATCCTCTGCCCCGGAGGACAGCCCACCTCACTCAGACCTTTGGTCAGTCCACCAGAAAGAACAAGGAAGACCAGGCTGAAAATTAGGAGTTCTGCTAGGATGACCCCCCCCCTGTTTATAAATGAACCCACTGGGCCTTGTGTGCTCATCATAACCAAACAAAAAGGAAAAGAAACAACCCACAAATTGATTGTTTTCATTTTCATTAGTGCTCCTGGAGCCCAGCTCTCCAGGAGGTTTGAGTGGGCTGGCTGCAGATGGCTGCACCCCACGGGTGCTTCGAGGGTGGCTGAGCATCGTGACCTTCCCCTGCTCACAGAGGGGGCTGAGCCCAGGGTTAACCTTTAAACCTGTGCCAGGTCCATTGCCACAGCTGGGGGACCTCCCTCATGTAAGGCCCTCAGATCTCCTGAAGATGCCACGTCCACCAGCACCAGCATGGTCCCTCTCATTGCAGGGATGTGTCTGCTGTCAGCCCCCCCGGTGCTGATGGGGGATAGGAAACCCCACGGGAGGTGTGAGCCCCCACTCCCACAGCGAGGTGTGAGCTTTCCAGCTGCCATGGTCATGCACGGGGGCTGCTGGTGGAGCTTCATGATTTATTTTGGGCTCATTGCAAGGTTACAAACCACTTCCCATGTGTGGGGGCTGTTTGTAGGTTAGGATGCTCTGCAGTGTCTCTCTGAAGGTTCCATCCTGTTCCTCATGATGCTGAGGCTTTTCCCACCACAGATGGGCTTGTGTCCTTCAAAAGGGCCATTGTCTGGCTGCCCCAGCCAGCACGGGCTCTGCCTGGCACCCGCAGTCCCTGGGGCAGAGGGGAGGGCTCGGGGAGCTCCAGCACCACTGGCCG